TGCTTCCTGAAGGGCAGTTAGCCCTTCGATGTGTTTAATGTTTGAATAGAGTGACCTTATGTCCATAGTCACTAGAATAGCATTCTCTGGAACTGTTTGTATGTGATTCATTTTGTTTAGTAGATCTGTTGTGTCTCTGATGTAGGATTGTACTTCCTTAGCTAGCGGTTGTATGTAATGGTCTATGTATTTGGAAATTTTTGTCGTGTGGCAGTTGAAAGATGAAATAACCGGCCTTCCTCGGTTGTTGCTTTGTGTATTTTAGGAAGGAGATAGAAACGAGCAGGTGTAATGTTTGTGGGTGTAAGTGTTGTGCATGTTTCCTTGTCGATTAGATTGTTGCGAAGCATTATGTTTAGTGAGCTAGTTAATTCTTTTTGGTATTCGGGAAGGGGATCTGTAGGTAAGCTTTTATAGGTTTCTTTGTCGCTAGCTGTTTGTTGGCCTCTTTAATGTATTCTTCGATTCCCCAGATCACTGTCGCACCCCCTTTGTCAGCCTGTGTTATGATTAGGTCATCTCTATGTGTCAGCGTGTCGAGGGCTATACGTTCCCCTTCAGTAATATTGTCACGCGGTAGCTTACGTGCTATTGTTTTCTTTATGTCATTTGCTACGGCTATTTCAAATGTCTATATAGTAATGTCTGTGTTTTGTGGGGTGTAGGTAGTGTCCTTCTCTTTTAATGTATCAAGTATGGAAGGTGTGTGATCATTTTCCCCGGAGTGGGCTTTTAACCGTATTCTTCTGAAGAAGGATTTCAGGTCCTTTGTCAAGGTGTCTTTATCAAACCTTGGGGGACTAGGGCAAAAGCTTAGTCCTTTATTTAATACCCTGAATGTATTGAGTGAAAATTTATTGTTACTCAAATTTATAACTCGCCCGTATGGGTCAAGTTTGAATTTGCAAGCATGGCGAAGTTCTTTCGTAAAAGCTCGAAAGTTTGCATCATATCTCCTATTAGGGATGCTATACGCCCCCCCCCACCATCCAGGTGTCCTGGTTGGGGGCTTATTCCGTTTTTTTTAAGGTTGAGTGTGTTTGCTGCTGATTGTCTACTAGGGGATAATCTAGGTGGTCTGGAATGTCTAATGGGGTTATGTGTTCTGTAGAAGGGCTGCTGTGTTTTGGTTTGTGTATGTTTGTACGGCACCCTAAGGATGTCCGCGTAAGTTAGTGGTTTGTTTTGTGTGTGTGTTTGTTTTGAGGTTCTAGCTATCGTTGATGGTGGCGGTGTTGTTATTGTTGGTTGTGGTGCTGGTGGTTGTCTGTTGGTGTATTTATTTGGTCTGTTTTGTGTTTGCATTGGTTGTGTGGTGGTCAGTGTAGTTGCGGTGTTTTGTTGTTTTCTTTTGGGGTATAGTCGTTCACTTTTTTCAGAGTTTGGCTTCATTTCTCTTTTGTTCCTCTGTCTGGAGGAAATATTCCAATTTAATTTTCTTTGTTTTTCAGTTTTTGTTTTTTGTAGTTCCCTCACTGTTTGGCCTGTGTGAGCTTTTATGACATTCTTTATGTTGGCATATTCTTCCGTGTCCGTTTGTTTTTTTTTTCTCATCGAGCAGGTTAATTTCTGCTGTTGTTGCCGTTATGCTTTCATTGCGGAACTGCATGCTGCATGAGTTCCCTGGAGAAATCTTCTAATTTACGGTACCATGATGCTAGAAACGCATCATTGTGGTTACCTATTGATGGTTCCAAATCAATCCTGAAATTGGTCAGTACTAATTGATCCTTCAGGCATATACTAATATATTCCTGGTGTGATTCATACCTGGCTAATTTGTTGGTTGCTCTATTCATACGGATAACCAATAATTCGGTGTTTATTGGTTCTGTTGGTGTTATATCCTCGACATTTAGTTCAGTCCCGTGTCTATTATTCATGATTATATTTTGAACAATAAAATATATTAAAAAATTAATATCTTCAGGCACACTGGGTTGTAGATTAATATTCTTTCGTTTTTTTTTATTATTATTTCATTTAGATTCCTCGACTAGTTTCGGCCAAAATGGCCATCATTGGGAGAAGAAATATTTCTGCTTACTGGTAGCAGTAAACTACAAAACTGAATGTCTTGATGGAGAAAATGAACTTTTGGCTGTAGTTTTCATTTGTTTTTTTTAAATTTTTTTATCTTTTTAACATGAATCTTTTAACATTCCTTGTGTTGGTCAAACAGTCTCTTTTAAGTTGTTATTTGAGAAAACAGCTGGATGGATCTATGCTTCTCTGAATTCCCTTGGTCAGTTTATATATATATATATATATATATATACAGTGTTCTAAAAATATGTATTCACTCTTTAAATGACAAAAAAATGTAGTGTTTATCGACTTGCAAACAAGAGTAAGGATTAAAATTGAAAATATTAATGTTTATTGACTAACAAAAAAGATTAAGGGTTTAAATTAAATATTAAATTAAATACATGGATCTGAAAAAGATAAAATGAAAAAGTTATAAGAAGTCAAAAATGAGTACATTTTGGAGGACACCCCGCATATATATATATATATATATATATATATATATATATATATATAAACAATAGAATTAAGATTACATTAGGTTAATGATCATTTTCACCTTGTAAATTGAAATAAAAGTTTTCCTTCTTCTGTTTGGCCAGTTTTATTTCATAATTTTATCATCCATTGACTGGTTTGAAAAATCCTTGTAGATTTTATTTCAATTTATAAGGTGAAAATGATCATTAACCTAATGTAATCTTAATTCCTATTGTATAGTAATATGTTGCTCTGTTTGATTAAAACATTGAGCTCTCTGTATGAATCAGTTTTAATATTTAATTTTTAATATTTTATATTAATATTTAATATTTTATATTATATTAATAGGATTCACTTAGATTGTATACCAACGGATTATTACACGCGCACACACACATATATATATGTGTGTGTGTGTGTGTGTGTGTGTGTGTGCGCACGCGCGTCTGGCTTAGAAATTTCGTCTATTTCTTTCTGATGCAAAGTAGACTTTTCTTTGTTTCTGATCTGAAAAAGATCTTAAAAAAATCAAAAAAAAAAATCAAGAAATTATTGGAAGTAAAACATTGAGTACTTTTTTGGGACATCATATATACAGGATGTATCAATACTTTTAAATACTTTAGGGGCGGGTTCTCACAACTAACAAGGACAAAAGTCCATATAAACATATCTCTGTAAATCTTTGTTTCTGTGTTATTAAGTGTAAAGATAGTTTAGTGTAGCTGGCGCTGTGTTGCCATGTAAACTAGATTACATTTGTCATTCGTATACATTTGCGATTATTTTGTCTTCAACGTATAACGTGTGTAGTAGTGAGTTAACTGAGAAGTGTTCCGATTAATAATGCCAGAATATTCATATGTTTGTTTCTTCAATCAAGCTTACGGATGAGGCAAAATTTGGAAGAGCTGGAATAACAAATTTGCACAATTAACATTTATAGGCGGATCCGAATCCCCATGGTACAATACAGACTAGTCACCAGCACCTGTTTACGATTAATGTGTGGGCTGGAATTGTAGGTGACTGTCTGGTAGGTCCATATGTTCTTCCAGCACGTCTTACAGGAACTGTCCATAGGGACTTTACTTCTAATACACTTCCCTTACAGACCTTGCTAGAGGATGTACCCCTGCTAATACGAGGACACGTGGTTCATGGATGATGGGGCTCCAGCATATTTTAGTCACATTGTTCGCGATGCGCTGGTTGACATCTACCACGAAAAATAGATAGGTAGGGGAGGACCGGTTTCATAGACTGCACATTCCCCCGACCTCAGTCCTTTTGATTTTTATCTGTGGGGCTGCCTAAAACAATTGGTTTATGCAGCAGATATTAATAATGCAGAGATGCTTCATCAATGTGTCATGGAGACCTGCGAAACCATTTGACACCGTGTGGGAGTATGTGAAAGAGTTCGCCAGTCAAGGAGCCGACGAGTGCAAGCGTGTGTAGAAGCAAGCGGAGGACATTTTGAGCATTTGTTATGAGTTGCTGTGTTGAGGTACAACGATGGCCTTTTGGACATAATATTTAAATGGACATTTTACTTTGTTTTGATGTCAGCAATTTTGGGGCATACTCTAAAAAGAGTCTGCCTATCTGTCTCTAAAATTTTATATGCTCTGACGTGACTTTCGTGGCTCGATTTAGTATAGCACCTTTTTGACTTGAAGCTTTAGTTCCTTTACCATGGAGCTGTTGTCACATATGTTATTGAGCACTTTTCTTTGCAATAGGCTACCCCTTTTCCAGTAGAACTTATTTTTTGGCTATTTTAGATCTTGGGCGGATGGTTTACCCTCACCAGGCGGGTTTGGTTGGTTCGGCATCTTGAACTCACCTGGTAGTATATACGGTACCCATTCTATAAAACTGCAGCCACCGACGGCCTGACGATTACGTGATAAACGCATGAACATAGCAGTCGTAGTCGGTCACTACCTACCATAATTTCTACTTTATATATATATATATATATATATATATATATATATATATATATGTATGTAATTTTTTTCTGAGATGAGCTTTTGTAACTATTTACACTATTTACATCGTTCGGACTGTTTTTCTCATATTGTATTTGAAATAGACGCCCCATTTTTATTTTTATTTTAAACAGTGTGTATTACGTTTATCAGCATGCGCATTCGCGGAATCTTAATAAAGAAAATGTGTTCTCCGGCAAAGATCGAACCTGCATCGCCCTTTGGATATGGTATTATGAAGCAGGAAAATTAAAGCTAATGGTAGAACATGTATTCAGCAACCTAAAATTGTCCAAAATTGACCAAAACATACCATATACGCTTTTAAAAACCTTTTTTGTAGATCTGCATTATTTCACATATTTTCATATTTGATCTAAAGCGAAGGACGTTGGAGTCAATGAACTTGCTTCAAATCGTATATTAGAGTCATTCATTACGTATCGGAAATGCTAGCGATTTGAAACTTATACGAAGGTTGGGAAGGGGATGAACTGTTCTCGGCACGACCCACTTCCTTGTCTGCATGTGTCTGTGAGTGTGTGCATGTTTTTTTTTTTTATTCTTTATCTTCCTGTCTAGTTTATTATTGGCAAATGACTTAACGTGAGTTTTTTTTTAGTCAGGCTGAGAACTTTTCTACTAACTAAGCCAACATATCGGTAGCATTAATTTGTATTTGTCTACTTGCTTGATTGTATTATGTCGATTTAAATAACCAGGTAAGAATTCCCTAAGAAACGAACTCGGGAACCAAATAAAAAATTTCGTCGAATTTTTGTCATAACCACTTTTCTTCGCTAGAGTGACTCGTCCCTGATTGAAAACATTATATTGAATAGAGGAAAAAAACAAAAAAACAAAAAAAACAAACAGTAAAAGAATAATAAAAAAAAGGACATATATTCTTAGCTTTGTATTTTTCGGACATTGAACATTGACATCTTTAAAATTTATAAGCAGAAGTGGCACCATTTTGTTAACTAGTTACGATTTATTACTTACTAACAAGGTAAATTAATGTGAGTTCCACCAGTATGGAACTCTCCAAATGGACATTACATATGAAGATACATATATATACAGGGTAAATGTTTACATGGGTAAATTGTCGCTATTTTATATTTTTAATTTCGCGCATGCGCGTTGTTTTTTATTTTGTCGACTGCCTAGTATAGTAGGGCCAGTTGGGCACCATTCTGTGAGAAAAAGAGCACCATAACACAATTCATTTCGCCATAAATTTGGAAACGGCATGCTGTACTGCTCTGTATTCGCACCGGAAGCTCCAATACGAATATTTCAGAGTGTTTGGTGTCAATCTGAGGACAGTGCAGAGGATTCGGAAAGAGTTGGATGAGTCTAATGCTGATTACGAAGGTATGGGAGCTCGTAAAACTAACTCTGATCGTTCTGATAAGAAAAGAACTCCCGAATTTGTTACTGATGCCTCAAACTCAACACGGAGGCCTACATCAAGAACCTTGAGTAGGTAGTGCTGCCTTGAGTCAAGAGGGTGGCTACTGGAAGCCCCCTGTGTTTGGCAACAGGACTCTGCACATGTCACACAAGCAGGAGATTCCAGTCTTGGCTGTCAGACAATTTCTGCGACCACATCACCCCTTACAACTGGCTACCCAGTCTGAAACCCCCTTTATTATGCGTGGGGCGCAGTTGAGCGAGAGACCAAAAAAAAAAAAAAAAAACTTCTTACAAAACCAAAGATAAACTGACGACAAAGAGTATGGCAGCATTTACCAACTTAAACAAGGAGACCGTCCAGAATAGTTGCAGGAGATTCCGAAGTCGTCGAGAGGCTATGGTTGAAGCCAGTGGAGATTTTATTGAATAAATTTACTCTTTGGTATTTTAAGATATTTTTGTGTAATTATGGTAAATATATCTGTTAAAATGAGATATCAGTATTATTTTTATTTTTGCGTAAATTAGACGACAATTTATCCATCGCAACCTGTATATTCCTGGGAATATATTAAATTCAATTCTAATCACATGTAATTGAATCGAATCGGATTTGACAAAACGATATCTTTTGGATTCATAACTACGCTGCAGTTGATTTTCATTTTCGTGTCAGACATAATTTTATATTTATGAAGTTTGCGAATTGATTACATTTTTCTTTAGAAATTGTGTCGCATAACCACTTTTATGATAATGGAATATGCAATCCATTATCAAAGAAGCCGGAAAAATGGTCGATTCACTATATCAATCCTGGAAGTGTTTGACATCTACCGCCATATTTGATATTTAAAAGAGTTCAAACCAAAAATGGAGTATTGCTGTCATATTTGGTCTGGAGCTGATCAATCCTCACTTTCCAGCATTAAGTTCAGAATTTTTGCGTGATTTGGAAGATGATTTATTTTCCAATTAGCAACATCTTTCGCACACACGCAACTTTGCTAACCTGCCGTTATTCTATGGCGATTTCCATGGTAAGTGTTCAGATCAGCTACATTCTTTAGTGTCACCAGTTCAAACCTTTACACCTAGAGCATGCTAAGCTACTTCCACGGATTCGAATCACCCTTATTTCTCCAGTGTCCCAATTCCAACAAGAAATTTTCATTCAGACAGTTTTTTTTTAACAAGAATTGCTACTTTGTAAAAAACACTTCCAAGTGGGCGTTTCCCTGAATATTTCACGCTGAAACACCGGTTCCCATACTATCACAGAAGTTAAGCAACGTCAAGCCTGGTCAATACCTAGATGGGTGACCGCCTGATAATATCAAGTGCAGTAAGCTTGGATGTTCGATTAATAATTCAATTATTAATCGGAGAGTCGAGTTCCAATTCCAGTTTGTTATATTCACATACACACAAATACACCTGGGAAAGGTATCAATCCACCTTTTCTCTCGCTAGCTATGGGTTAATTAGTAAGACTTGTATCACTGAACCATTATTATCACAAAAGAAATTGCGTACAAAATATTTAGATTTCGACATTAAATAATCCATACAGGTTGATATGCCGCTAAACAACCAACCTTAAATACATCTTGACCTAATCTTATTGGTCAGATATAATTTTTTAATCAATTCACCCCAAGCAAGGCGCATCTATCTATCTATCTATCTATCTATCTATCTATCTATCTATCTATCTATCTATCTATCTATCTATCTATCTATCTTCAAGGGTCAATTGTTATCTTTCTTCATAATTCCCACTTCTTAACCCCATTCTCTTGCATTCGTTTCGTGAACATTGATATCATCGTTATCATTTCGACTGTAAACTGCTACCTTGAACGGCTCTTGAGCCTTGTATTGCTTGATATTTACTAAAAAGAAAAATTAAGGTCTTTATTATTTCTGCATATTGGTTACCCTTATCGGGAAATATTCAAATGGCTTTTAACTACAAGGACCAATTTTGGACTATGATTAAATTAGTAATTTATTCAGTTGACAAAAAAACAAACAAAAAAACAAAACAAACAAACAAACAAAAAAAAAAAGAAAAAAAAGAAAGAAAAAAAAAGCATTTAATAACGAAATAATACTTTTGTATCTTTTACTTTTTGTTCGAACCAAGATTGACATATTCACCCGTAGCAATCAATTAATGTGTGGTAAAATTCAGCCGACCCAAGTTGCATAAATACCAGTTTATGCCATTTCACACAAATTGTCATTCCACACTTAATTTTAATGAATTCAGTAGCGACCCAATTGTTCCCCTTTAAAAGTATTGCCTGATTCTGTGAGTTCCCGAAGTTTCTGATTCTTGTCACATCTAAGCGCCCATTCGCCTCTGTTCACTTTCCAATTAGCGGACCATTACCGCACAGCCTTTCTTCCTGCCATATTTTATAAGTGGCCACCCAGTCGCAACTTTCCTCTGCACCATTCTCTTTTGGTAGTTGACTCCATCGGACAATACGTGAAAAAGCAGTCAGCGTTATGTGAGTTTCTTTTTTTTTTCTTCTTTTATTTGTCAATGACTAGAGATAACATCTTATGACTTACCTTTGATGCAGTTACTAGTCATGCGCAGCATCGAACACGCACACAAACACACTCAAACGCATACAACAACACTCAGCTTCACACGCTCACAAATGTAATGTGTGTGTTATTGATGTGCGGATATATAGAGATCCATATCTATCTATCTATCTATCTATCTATCTATCTATCTATCTATCTATCTATCTATCACATTCTGTTTATACCTTTCTATCTCAGTCTGTTTCTATCTATCTATCTATCTATCTATCTATCTATCTATCTATCTATCTATCACATTCTGTTTATACCTTTCTATCTCAGTCTGTTTCTATCTATCTATCTATGTATCTATCTATCTATCTATCTATCTATCACATTCTGTTTCTATCTCAGTCCTCATCTATCTATCTATCACATTCTGTTTATCTTTCTCAGTCTATCTATCTATCTATCTATCTATCTATCTATCTATTCTCTTGATTGATCCCAGCCATAAAACCGTAATTTGTCTGAAGATGTTCATTTGTGAATTTGTAAACGCGTCGCAACACACTTTTCTGTCTTGTCATATATTTCGTTATCATGCATAGCCTGTTTTTCTATATTTATTTCAGTCCATGTATATTTATGATAATATCTGTTTAAGTTTATTTATCTAGTTATTCAATTAGGGTAAGAAGTCATTCAAATAAATTTTATTATAATAGACTGTCAAAATCTGTTTCATTTTTTTTGGTATATTTTTCAGAGTTTGCATCGCTTCAAGTATATTGAGTCGCTCATTACACAAAAGAAATAATCCACATTTTAAAATGTGTTTTTTAGTAATATTAATCTATTCTATTTATCACATCGATCGAAGTGAATTCCGTGATACTTTCGTTGTTTGCATAGACTGCTTTGCCAGGGCTACATACAGTTTTAAATTTAGAGCATTTCCTTCTCCTAAACTGGTTGCCAAACGCAGCTATGGAGCCCAGCATGTTCTACTATTTAAGAGAGAGAGAGAGAGAGAGAGAGAGAGAGAGAGAGAGAGAGAGAGAATATGGATTCATACATTTCCCAATGGTAGTAAGCGGGCACTATCTCATTCCCTTTGTATTCCATCAGTGAGAATTTCCACTCGAACAACATCTTCCCACGAGCCGTTTCTTTGTGAAACCGATTTCCAGGATGCTTTCTCGACCACTAAAATCTTGACCTAGAGTTAACTGTTATCTTTCCTACATATTCTCATAAACTGCGCCTCTTACTTTTTGCCCTTACCACTTATACAACAAAATCCACGAATGACTCTTGCTCCTTATATAGGTTTAACATTAGCAAAAGTAAACGTAACGAACACGACCAGAATTCGAACACCTGCACTTCTTAAGTTGTTACATCCTCATCATCATTATCATCATTCTTTTTCGCGCAGCAAAAATTTGTTCTTTAAATCCTACATGCACCGACAAATTGTAGATTCTTATCAAGGATTTTGCCGCTGATTTCAGTCAAAGTCTCGTATTAAGCAATAGAATACAAATTCTTTGAATATGTAAGCTTTTGTGATCCCTAACGGGCTAATTAAAAAAAAAAGATCATTAAAAATGCCTACCCCTAAAATATAGTTTCAACTAGAGACTGAAATGTTTTCTCCTCGACAAATAAAATATTAAGATATTTTTTGAAATTGAACGTTTCAGCATCCGCAAAAAACTATTTTTTAAAATTAAAATATAGCGGCTCACATTAACCCACTCCCAAAATATACCAATATATATATATATATATATATATATATATATATATATATATATATATATATATATATATGAACTGGATAGCGGCTCGGATTGAGGAATCGGAGAGCCGAGTTCGAATTCCAGTCGAATCCATTACATTCACTTACGTGAAAAGGTGTTACTCCTCTTATTCTCCCTACAGCAGGGACAGACTGAGTTCTATAGCCTTGGATGGCAACGGGTCTAGAAGAAGGAGAACTCTGAATTCAAACCTGCGGAGGGTCGTTTGGGGCCCTTGTGGCACGTAGTGCACCAGGTCTCTGTATTCGGCTCTTCAGAAGGTGTGGTTGGTTCTGCACAAAACCTTCAAACACTATAATCAAATCATATGTGCTGGTGTCTGGCCTATTGGTTCCTAGGAACTGAGATGCTTGATCCTCATTAAGTCGAATACGACGGAGAGTCCACTATATATATATATATATATATATATATATATATATATATGTGTAAAATTAGGAGATCAACCTATACCGCTACCTTGATATCAACCTTTCGGTATCTTCAAGTGATTTCGGTACCGAATCGACTGATCTCCGAATTTTCTATACTTATATTATTGGATATTATTTTCTATACTTATATTATATGGATATTATTGGTTTTATCCTCGCATCTCGGCTTCTGTCACTCTCCCACCGTCGTAATGTACCATCCCTGTTCCTTTAATATAAATAACATCATGGCAATTTTTCAGATGAAATTTTGCGATGGTACCGAGACTTTGGCAGAAAAGTTTCATCATTTTACAGCTGCAATGGCTCGATATAACCGCAAGTTCTATGTTAACAGTTTCTTTTTTCGCACTTTTCATTTGTGTGTGTGTGTGTCTGCGTGTGCGTGCGTGCGTAGGGATAGCTGTTTATCATCTTAATAATAATGATAACAATAATGATGATAATAATAGTCCATCAGCAAAATGGACAAGGCTTTTACATGTTTAGCCAACAGTTTAGAGAAGAAAATGTTTTCAAAGCAATTGTTTCATTACTGGTTAACAGAAGATATTGAGCATTAAAAAATATGAGAAAACAACTACGTTAATTTTCTATTTCACTGGCCTTATCACTTGTAGGTTATATATATATATATATATATATATATATATATATATATATATATATATATATATATATATATCCATACACCACGCACATACAGAAAGAGAGAGAGAGAATGAAGGTGTACGTGGATGCAGGAGTCAAAATTCCATAATGATTGCCGGTGTCTAAAGATCGCTCGATGCATGGAACTAATGATCACCATACTGTATTGATTCCTGCCTATATTGTCTGTATCTATAAATGCTCTGTATTCTATACCGAGCATTCTTGCCCCATAAATATAGTAATACACACACACACACACACACACACACACACACACACACACACACACACACACACACACACACACACTGCATTTGGGCAACATTTTTTTTATTTATATGTGCTTAGATGGAGACGAAAAAAATTATTTAAAATGTTTTTTTTTTTTGTTTTGGGTCATTTTATTTTGAACTATTTTTCTGGTTTCCGCTGACACAGAACAAAAAAAAATTAAAATTTATTTAAAAATAAGAATAAAAAAATAAAAAACCTCTTTGATCATGATTTATGAAAGCTGATCGTATTCAAACATTGGACAATTTATATTTAAAAAAATCACCCGAAATGACCTAAAAATAAACAAAAATATCTTTAACAACATGTACGCATGTGTATACGTGTATGTGAAATGTTGACATAAAAAACACACATGAGTACACACTCACTCGTGCGTTTACTGAAATATATTTAACGAATATTTTGCAAACTATTCCGAACAATATTTTATGCGGCCTATAAAATACTTTTGGGATTTAAAAATAATACTTCTATCGAAAGATTTCAATTTTGAACCCCCTTAAAAACATCACAAATGTCATATTTAAACGATTACATTTAGGAAAATGCCCGGCGAGAGGTTTACAACTCATTCAGACAGTATTCGAGTTTTCCTTATCTCTAAGTAATGAGAGAAGTCTGGTCCCGGAGATAGCAACTAAAATGTATCACTCCCTACATTTGACTACTTAGGGACAGTTGGTGGGTACTGACGTCAACGTAATAGTGGTTGCGGGGGCTGGGCAATTTTTGTTTTGAGTTCATATATATACGTTCGTTAGAAACAAAGAAAAGAGCTTTTACGGGGTATCTTTTTTTTTTCTTTCTATATACCGTGTCCTTTCAGAACGTAGGCGATCATGGCTGACCGTCTCTCTCTATTCTTTGCAGCTCTCAACAAGTTCCTTCCCTCTGCCACCTCCCTCAGATCACGTTCTGTCATCCACTTGCTTAAGGCTGCTAGGTATGTCATGCGTTGTTTTCTCTTGTCTCTCTATTCCTTTATTCGACCCGTGAGTATCAGATTCTCCTCCTTACTCATTATGTGTCTCAGGAACTTCAGTCAGTTATCCTATATGGCAGTGAATGCTGGACAATCTTCCCAAAGATGAAGAGATTTGAAGTAACAGAGATTTGGTTCTATAGAAAGATGCCGAGGGTATGATGGACCGAACATGTGAACAACGAGGAAGTTTTAAACAATTGGAAACAAAAAGGACACTTATAATTAAAATCAGGAACATACAGTTGAAATTTCTAAGGCACGTAATGAGGGATGAAGGTTTGGAAAATGTAATACTCACAGGACAGATTAAAGGCAAGAGGGACAGAGGAAAGCAACGGATGACGGAACAAAGTTTAGTTGAAATATTAAAAAGACAAAATTCATTAAGCGCTACGGAGGACATGGAATTGTGGAGAGCCATGATCTCGTCCTGAAGGGACAGGGCGCATAAAGAAGAAGAATAAACGTATTACATGTTTAACCGACTGTATCCCACCCTACAACCAAAAACTGGGATATAGGAAACTGTCACATTAAAATAGCATTCAGGGGAGACTACTTATTGAAGTGCAATTTTAAACGAAAATTCAAGGGAAATAATTTGAAATAAGTTCTATATTTCTGCGTAAACTCTTCACCGTTAATGTTTAAAAAAATCACCCAGACATATGTGGTACATGATTAATTTTTTTAATTATTATTGGCCAGTAGTTTGTAGCGGAGAGAGCAATTTCTTGTTACGTCTGAGGTGGAAATTTCTCAAAGTAAATGAAACCAATATTTTCAAAAGAAAGGAAATTCAACACGTGGAGGAATATTATTTGTGTGTGTTTGTAGAATATTTAATAGTATCCGAAACAAAAGTGAAAATGATGAGACAAAGTGGAAATCTTTTTTTATTTTTTATTTTTGTTTCGCCGGAGGAAAGCTTATGTTCTCTTTGGCGTCATCAGTTCGACTAAAAGAAGAAAGACAAAACTATATCTTAGGAGAGTGTCTTGGGCTCACTGAGGATAAGTTGGTTATCGTAAGAAGAAGAAGAATAAAAAAAAAAAAACAGCGAAAATTAAAGGGAGACAACTGCGGATTCGAAGTCAATATTATCATTGATAACTCACTCCTCCAATTTGCTGAGCCTAGTTACTATATTGTTAATACTTGATATAATGCAAAATATATGATAAAATCGACCAATAATTATTTGTAACTATTTATACTGGGGCTCATGCGTGCATTTGCAAGTAATCTATAACAATATTTTAAATTTTGAAATTATTTATTTTTGCAATACGCATTTGTGAA